GACCGAACGGCGCTCGATAAATTGAGATCGCCGGCGAATCGGACGAGGACCGAGGCGTAAACGCGTGGGAGAAAAGGCGAGCTCGAGCGGAAATTGGAGTGCGCCGCGTTGCGTGCCGTTGGTTCGCCAAAGGGATGGGGGTCGGTGCGAGCGGGACAGGAGGCCGAGAGCAAAGAGAGTCAAAGTAAGTTTTTACTCGTGTTCCTGGCCGGTGGCCGACTAGCTAAGATTAGACGAACGTTCGCTATATATAGGATGACATTTATATACGCACCTACTAAACGCGACGGTACACGCGCCTCCCCTTTCTCCTCCGCCGCTCCGCTGCTCGCCCACACGCACGCACACACGCAACTTTCTCCGTTCGTCCCTACGTTCTCCTTTCGACCAACGTTCGAATTATGTCTGGTCCGCGTCACTTTTCCTTCCAACGTGTCGCAGACTCCGTAATACGTAGCCGATTGTTCCGCGTAACTCTATTCTTCGTCCGACGCGTAAAGTGGAAGCGCGACAGCCTATCGTACGCGTTGCGCCAGGCGACGCGCGTTAACGCGATCGCGCAACCACTATCGCGTTCAAGCGTCGATCGAATCGCATCGAACGCGGTGATCGAAACGACGCCACGCACGCACCGCGTTCTCAGCACCTTGGAAACGACCTAACGATCGTTCCGTGCCCTTCGATTTACACGACCCACTCTACGATAAAATACTCGACCGCTCGAAGCGTCGAAAAACGTCCGGTATCTTGCGTCGCGAGTAAAATTCAAGATTCCGCGCGAACTGGCGTTTGTTACGTACCGCCGTAAATCGAATGGCTGCCGGCGCTAACTCTGTTCGACAGGATGTCGACGCACTCGATCGATCTCTGCCATCCTCGTAATTATTCGCTCCTCGGTTACGCTCCAACTTCTCTTTTCCTTCTTTCTTGTCTTCTATGCGCGCGGTTGCGTGTATTTTCTATTAAAACGGGCAACAAAGCTAAGAAAAAGGAAGAAGAAGGAAGAAGAGACCGGAAGGATCGCGGTTTCAACAGGTTGAAGAGGACAGAAGAGGGCAGGATCTACTAGGAGCTAAAAGCAGGCGACGCTAAACGACGCGACGCGAGACAACGCGATCGTACGAGTGCGACCGCGTGGGCGTGTACGACTCGTATGTATGTGCTACGTATTTCCTCGAGGCGAAAGACCAAGCAAGAGGAAGGAAGACCAATGACCCCGTAATGAAAGCGATATCGGAACAAGGCGAATCGACTCGGCGGTGGTCACAGACCGACGATAGAATTAGACTCGCTATCTCTGTCCGTGTTATTTCGATTGCTTATTTCTCGAAAAAAGTGTTTGGTAACGCGAACGGATCGATGTCTCGTTCGCCACGTTCCCCTGCCTCGTTTCTCTTTCGTTTCCGTTAGACGCGCGTAACACGCGATCGCGTAAAAGATCGCAACGACGTTTCACAGGTTTCAAAACGAAACGGCGAATCGGGTCCACGGTACTGGCTCGTTCGCGTTCTAAATTGAACTCGTGACTTCGTCTAAGTGGCGAGAATGATTCGCAGTGACGTCAAGCGTGTTTCAGTTTCTGCTCTTTGTTGCGACGGGTTCGCGAATCCCGGCCGCTCGATTCATTTCGAGACCGTCGTACGCGCGTTTGCAAAAATTCGTCCGATGCCGGTAACCGTCGTTTCGTTCCTCGCGCGAAAACGCTCGTTTACGGTCGTTTTCTTCGAGATCCGTGTTGCGCGATTTCGTGTCGCGTCAATATACACTGGAAATCAAGTGAAAAAGAAACGCAGAAGAACGCGCCGTTGAAGCCAGGAAACGCGCGCGCGCTCGCTTTCGCCCGCGATCTCCCGCAAATGTCAGTGGAAAAACGATGAATCGTGTCCGCGCGGCGCACATGCGTGCTAACGCGCGACGCGGTGTCGACGAGTCTCGCGAACACGAACAAACGCGATTCTCCTTGTTCGTCCGCATCGTTACGCCGGAGTTCGTTCTCCCGTTGCCTCTGGCTGTGACGCGAACGATATTCGAAAGAGGTCTGAAAACTGAAAACTCTAAAAACTAGTTCAACGTCTTTCTCTTCTATCTCTCTTTCTCTCTCTCTCTCTCTATAATTTCAATTACGCTACACATGCTCGTGCACGGACGCGTTGGTTCTTTGTCTTTCCCTCCTTTTTTTCCCTCTCGGAGACATTTCCGTTCGATATCGCGTGGACGGTACCAAACACGAGTGACGGCAAAGCGAGCATCAAGTAACGAGGACTCGCGCGGAAGAAACGATAACACTTTCAATGGAACTGACGAACGTCGATCGCGGCAGCGTTGCCTTTCGTTTTGAAACGCACAAAAACCCGAGAAAACCGAGTAAATAGGGGAGAAACAGCGGAGAGACGAAGGACGGGAGAGGGGAGTGGACGGAGAGAGAAAGAGACAGAGAGAAAGCAGCCAACGGGACAACAGAAAGTTACGGGAGCGATGCTAGTCGCTCGCGTCGTTACAAGCTAGGCACAACAGGTGTCGGTCGATTTGGAAATGGACTTTGAATCGCGATACAGGATACAGGCTGGAAATCCCTCGACGGGATTTTACTACGAAGCGTTCGAAACGATCAACGCAGAGCGAGTGGACAGCAATGGAAAATACGCGACAGAGAGCAAAGAGCAGAGAACTTTGCGTGAAACGCGAAACTTTCGAATTTCGGCATCGGATTTTTAGGCCGAGTTCCGATGAAACAGCGTCGATCGTTTCGCGACACGCGTCGAAACCGTTTACCAACGATCGTGTGACAAAAAAACGGAACGCGGCGAAGCCAGAGGGGAGACGATCGAAAGGACGATGCGGAGAAAGAGAAGCGGCGGCAAAAGCGAAATACATAGGACGA